TTTGTCCCCCACAAACTTCTGGTTGAAATTTGATCCCCAATGTTGGAGGTGAGGCTTTTTTTTTAAGAAAGAAAAAAAAAGAAAGAAAGAGAAAAAGAAAGAAAAATAAATAAATTTAAAAAAAAATGAAGGAGAGGAAGAAAGAGGAAGAGGAAGAGAGAACAGAAATGTTGCTTTATTGCCCAGGCTAGAATGTAGTCTAAAAATGGGTATTGAAAACCTCTTTTATACCAATAATTGTACTTAATAATGGAGACAGGAAAATTACGAGGGAAGAAAATAACAAAAAAGCAGTCAACCAATATTTCATTTAAACCTGTAAGTAGGTGTGATGTGGTGCTAATAAGAGCGTATATTTTGTGTATTTGAAGTGGAGAGTTCTATAAATGTTTATTAAGTTTACTTGTTCTGGGTCTGAGTTCAGGTCGTGGATATCCTTGTTAATTTTCTGTCTCGTTGATCTGTCTAATACTGATGTTGAAATGTTCCACTGCTATTATGTGGGAGTCTAAGTCTCTTTATAAGTCTTATGAATCTGGGTGTTCCTGTATTGGGTGCGTATTTAGGATCGTTAGCTCTTCTTGTTGCATTGATCCTTTTACCGTTATGTAACGTCCTTCTTTGCCTCTTTTGATCTTTGTTGCTTTAAAATCTATTTTATCAGAGATGAGAATTGCAACTCCTGCTTTTTATTTATTTATTATTTTTGCTCTCCGTTTGGTTGGTAAATCTTTCTCCATCCCTTTGTTTTGAGTCTTTGTGTATCCTTGCATGTGAAATGGGTCTGGATGCAGCATACTGATGGGTTTTGGTTGTGTCTTTTGATTGGGGAATCTAGTTGATTTAAATTTAGGATTAATAATAATATATGTGAGTTTAATACTGCCATTTGATGCTAGCTGGCTGTTTTGCCCATTAGTTGATGTAGATTCTTCATTATGTTGATGCTCTTTACTTTTTGGTATATTTTTGGAAAGGCTGATACTGGTTGTTCCTTTCTATGTGTAGTGGTTCTTTCAGAAGCTCTTGTAAAGCAGGCCTGGTGGTGATGAAATCTCTGAGTACTTGCTTGTTCACAAAATATTTTATTTTTCCTTCACTTATGAAGCTTAGTTTGGCAGGATATGAAATTCTGGGTTGAAAATTCTTTTCTTTAAGGATGTTGAATATTGGCCCCCACTCTCTTCTGGCTTGTAGGGTCTCTGCTGAGAGATCTGCTGTGAGTCTGATAGGCTTCCCTTTGTGGGTAACCTGACCTTTCTCTCTGGCTGCCCTCAGTATTTTCTCCTTCGTTTCAACCCTGGTGAATCTGATGATTATGTGCCTTGAGGTTGGTCTTCTTGAGGAATATCTTTGTGGTGTTCTCAGTATTACCTGGAGTTGAATATTGTCCTGCCTTGCTAGGTTGGAAAAGTTTTCCTGAATAATATTCTGAAGCGTATTTTCCAGCTTGGATTGATTCTCTTCGTCACATTCAGGTACACCTATCAAACGTAGATTAGGTCTTTTCACATAGTCCCATATTTCTTGGAGGTTTTGCTCATTCCTTTTTATCCTTTTTTCTCTAATCTTGTCTTCTCGTTTTATGTCATTAAGTTGGTCTTTGACCTCTGATATCCTTTCTTCTGCCTGTTCAATTCGGCTGTTAAAACTTGTGCATACTTCGTGAAGTTCTCATGTTGTGTTTTTCAGCTCCATCAATTCACTTATATTCCTCTCTAAATTATCTATTCTCGTTAGCATTTCGTCAAACCTTTTTTCAAAGTTCTTAGTTTCCTTGCATTGGGTTAGAACGAGTTCTTTTAACTCACAGAAGTTTCTTATCATCCACCTTTTGGAGCCTACTTCTGTTAACGGAACACACTCGTTCTCCATCAGGCCTTGTTCCGTTGCTGATGAGGAACTGTGATCTCCTGTAGAGGGAGAGGCGTTCTGATTTTGGGTATTCTCAGCCTTTTTAGGCTGGTTTCTTCCCTTCCTTATAAATTTATCCATCTGTCTTCTTTGTAATTACCGACTTTCTAATTAGGTTTCTGAGTGGACGTCCAACTTGTTGATTCCCAGCACTAAAATCTGAGCAGCCCACTGCACCAGCTAAAACAGCGGCATTAAGATTGGTGGTGCTTTTCTGACCCTGCACCAAGAACCACCGCGCAGAGGCGCCGGCAAAACTGCCACACCGGCCACAAAAGTCACGCTGTCGACCCGTGGGGCTCCTCCGCTGGGAATCTCCTGGTCCATAAACAACAAAAATTCATCTGAAAGTGTGGCGTCCTCTCGTTCTCTGCGCTTTCACTGGGAGCTGCAATCCCGAGCTGCTAGTGATCAGCCATCTTGGATCTCTCTCTTCAAATAATTGTTAACTACCATTTCTTTAGAGTGCCAGGCACTGAGAAAACACTTCCTCTCTCTCTTTTTAAATTTTTTCCTTTTTTAAGACAGAATCTCGCTTTGTCATCCAGACTGCAGTCACAGCTTACTGCAGCCTTGACCTCCCAGGCTCAAGTTAACCTCCTGCCTCAGCCTCCCCAGTAGCTAAGACTATAGTCATGTGCCACCATACCTGGCTAATTTTTGTATATTTTGTAGAGATTGGGTTTCCCAAGTTGCCCAGGCTGGTCTTGAACTCCTGAGCTCAAACAATTTTCCCACCTCAGCCTTCCAAAGTGCTGGAATTACAGGTGTGAGCTACTGCACCCCACCCCATTTCTCATTTTTAGCATGTTATCTCATTTAGTTTTCATTTTTAAAAACCCTAAGTGCTAAATATTAACTCTAATTTGTAGAGGCTAAAACAGGTTTAAAGGCATTGACTAGCTGGGTGTGGTGTGCTTGCCTATAGTCCCAGCCACTCAGGAGGCTGAGGCCATTAGAGTTCAAGTCCAGCCTGGGCAACATAGCAAGATCCCATTGCAAAAACAAACAAATAAACAAACACAAACTATTTTTGGCTTGAAGTTAAAAAAAATGGGCAACAGTGTCTTAAACCATGGCCATGTTTAATTAAGTCACGTAACAAAAAGTCTGGAGGCAGGCAGCTTCTGAGTTGGTTAAGTTGGCAGGTAAACAATATGAGGGCTTTCCTGTTTCTCCATGGTTCTCCTAAGGCAGCCAGGACAGCTTCAAGTGTCACATTTTTACATGACAAAGTCCAAGAAAGGATAGAGAACTTTTTCAGGTTTTTGTCTTTTAATAGGGGAGGACAGTCTTTCTTATCAACTGTACATTAGACTCCTCCTTATATTTCATTGGCAAAAACTGGGTCCTGGGCCTACACCAAAGCCAGTCCCAGGCAAGGAGCCTGGGCTTACAGTGACTGGCTAAGAACATTTACAGTACATCCTCTTAAGATAGGAGTGATTTTGCCTTTTATTTGTATAAAACCCATTTTCTCTTATTAAAGGAGAAACAGGCAAACAATAAGGCCTCCCTCATCCACTAAAGTGCTCATAGATGCCATGTGATAAAGGATTTTCTAGCTTGCTACAGACAGCCATCTTCCATAAGACTTTAACTCAGAAATTTTGAATGAGCCATTAACCTAAAAATCTGGGACCCACTGAAAGGGGAGAAAATATTGTTCAATACCAGAAACCCCAATGAGGGAATGCATAATAATTATTATATTTTTGTTTTAGAACAATTTGGATCACTGAGACAGAGATTTACAAGTCAAATCTCTTTCAACATTTTTCCTCTAAACTTTATTGAGAGTAGTTAGTATTATCGATCCAGATTTCTTGACTGGCATTTTATTTGTTAAAAAACATATTTGAAGCCAGGCGCTGTGACTTACGCCTATAACCCCAGCACTTTGGGAGGCCAAGGAGGTCAGATCACAAGGTCAGGAGTTCAAGACCAGCCTGGCCAACATGGTGAAACCCCATCTCTACTAAAAATACAAAAATTAGCTGGGCGTGGTGGCATGTGCCTTTAATCCCAGCTACTTGGGAGGCTGAGGCAGGAGAATTGCTTGAACTGGGACTCAGGAGGCAGAGGTTGCAGTGAGCCGAGATCTGCCACTGCACTCCAGCCTTGGCTACAGTCCATAATACTGAGATCATTCTTTCACTAAATCACTAACTAACAAAAAAAAAAAAAAAAAAAAAAAAAAATTACAACATTTTAAATATTCTTAAATGTTTAAAAACATTGAAACTTTTTATGCATCTCCATTAAGATGGCAGACTGAAGAAACATCTATTTTAGCCACCCTTCAAATTCCACAAAAATGGTAACGAAGAAACTTTTAAAATAAATAACCTCACAAAGAAGAGAACAAAGAAGAGAGCAAAAAAAATTGGAAACTAGAAAGTTAATGGATAAAGGTAACTGATTTAGCAGTCTCAAGACAGTGGATCCTTAAACTAAAAACAAGCTGAGAAACAAGCTGATTTATACCACACAATGCTCAAATGCATGATGCGCCTCGATATTAAGCATACCTGGGGAAGGCAGAGAGATTTCAATTATTAAGAAGGATTGGGGCCAGGCACGATGGCTCACATGCCTGTAATCCCACGATTTTGGGAGGCCAAGGCAGCCAGATCACTTTGAGCTTAGGCTCAACACCAGCCTAGGCAACATAGTGAAAAAGGAAAGTAAATAATAGCAGTAATAGTAAAACAAAACCTTATAATTTGTAGTTGCTTTATAATAAATTTTGCTGTGTTGTGTGCTGTTTAATATAATACCCCCCAGCTCTGTTTAACGCAAAATATTGAACTGTCTTCCTGCAAACCATTTAACCCTTACCTAACCTCCCCACATTCTTAGCAAAGTTCTCAGTCATCTAGAAATTCCTGTTTTTCTTGCTGACCAGCTGCAAGGTCACAAAGCAGATTAAAAGTGTGGAATGTGTTTCTCAAGATGTTATTTTTCAAATGTAAAGTACATCACAAGACATGTTACAAGTCAATTAACTCTTCCTTGTTCTGGCTTCTGTAAACCTGTTGTTGCCGCATCATCCTAGGTGCATAAAAGGTACCCCATTTTCTTTGTCCTTTCTCAAAATTAGGAAGCAATTCCGCTGAGTCTGTGTCCACATTAAATAAAATCCTCCTGCAACCCCATCGGTCTCTCCAGATCCCTAAATTCCAGCTACAAGAGCAAAACCCCATCTCTACAATGGTGGTTTATGCCTGTAGCCCCAGCTGTTTGGGGGCTTATGTATACTGATTGCTAAATGCCAAGACTGCCCTCTCTAGCCCCATTCCTCAGCCCAGCTCCCAGCAGCCAGCAGTCAGAGCCTTGTCCTTCAGGGAGGAGATTGGAAAGCTTCTCTGGGCAGCATGACCAGGCAAGATAAAAGATTTACAGATACTGACTTTGAGGGTTTCTTAACAATCAATCCACCCAGATCACCATAGAGTCCATTTTAAAGTCCATAAGCCTAATGCATACATTCAGTTTCTCATCAACTTTTTGGTCCCTTACTAGTACTCATAAGCAGATCATTAAGGATTATAAGACAGCTGAGGAAAGCCTCTACTCCAACATGGAAAATAGAAACACAGTAGTTTAAAAGCACACTGGCATGCTATTAAACCATGCATTTTTAAAAATTGAAAAAAAAATTAATTTTACCCTCAAAGATAAGGGAAGATATTACATCCAAGAGCCAAAAACACCATGCTGTTAAAAAGTAATACACACAAGACCTTGGAAATTAGAAGTATAATTAAAATGGGAAAGAAGGGAACCGTGAGGAAATCTCCAGAGAGTAAGAAAAAAAGGGAGGGAGGGAGGGAGGGAGGGAGGCAGGAAGGAAGGAAGGAAGGAAGGAAG